AGTTGAGTTTGCATGATTAAAATTTCAGAAGAATTGTTCAAAATTATAAAGTCCCATTTATGCAAAACTTTCATTTTGTATCTAATTTAAAATGGTGTGTGGTTACAGAAAAGTCGGCTGAATCGTATTATAGTGTATTGTAAAACCATTTTGGTCGCTGCGCTTTGAATCGAAAGTAAATTTATGGGATAATGAAATTTCTCCGTCAATCACATTTTCGTCAGATGAAAAAGGTTATACCTTGGCATGCACGATGAATATCATGTGCGCTTACACTTTTCTACACCATTTTTATTATTCAAAAGGAGAGAAAGAAAAAATGTAACAAGAATGGAATGTATACAGTGTGTTTACTTTGCATTACAGTGAATGTTTATTTTGTCAGGTTATCAATAGACCTAAATTACCATCATTTGCTGTGCATCTAGAACGCAGAGAAAAAGAAGAGAAAGAAAACTTCATATGAAGTTGTTAGCTATGCTTCTTGCAAAGTTTTTACTTCAATTACCCCGAATTCTTGTCATCTAAGTTACTCACTTGCTTTCACCCACTTAACGATTCAAGTCTAACAAGCGACGAGCGCTTGCACGTGTACAACAAGCATATTAAAAAAAGAAGAAACAGAAGAGTCACAAAACAAAACGTTTTTCTACTTTGGTAATGATTTTAGAGAAACTTTTGCAACAAACGGTAGTTGAATTGAATGACCACTTTTAGTGAAGGCTTGATTAAAATTGGTTCGTGGAGTCTTGCAAGACTTATTTGCAAATCGTTTGCAGAGCACCATCTCCATTGATGAGTGGCTAGAAGCAATTTTCTTTTTACGAAATTTTTGTTTATTCAACTTTTAAAATTCTTTGCGAGTTAAATGGATCTAATATGGAAACATTTCTGTACCGAAATTTGCTGCTTTTTGCGCTTTCTCTCTCATCATTGCCCGCCCTGGCATTCCAACAAATGATATTGAATGCGCTTTTTCTAGCACTCACGCATCCCGTTGCTTTTCACTTTTAATAAAAATCAAAATGAATTTCAGAAGTTTTGAAATGTTTCCGGTCGGTTCTTTTGCTGTCCTTATGAGTTTTCTTTTATTTTCATCAGATCATTTGACCTTTTACTGTGAATCTCATTCATTGTTCAGCTTTAATTTCGACTTTTTTTCCCCAAGCCTTTTGCCTTTTTCGTTAGTCATTCATTTCACATTCAAAAATTCATTTTTCAACAAAACCAAACAAATACGATATTATTTTATATCGTACTATTCCCCATTTTTTTTTTGTCATTCCGAAGTGAATATTCGTCTGTGAGCCGCAGACCGTGACATAGGTAGTGTTTTTTATGGTAGCTGTTCCAACCATTATATCGTTTATCACCGCACACACACAAATGTACAGAAAAAAAAAGAATTTCAAATCAATTCAATGCTATATACAATAACATGTGTTATTTTTCTAAATCAAGCAAACGCATTAAACATACGCGTGATTTTTTCCTCTATACGGAGATTTCCCGAGATCACATTGTGAAAGACTAGAAAAAAGAACTGAATAACGATTTACAAGAAAAAACGGCTCAGTGTTTTGCATTTGTTTTGCTACACTGTTTATATGCAGGCAATGAGCATGGAATTTATCTTCATCGCGAATTTTTCATATGATATTTTACACACTGTTTATGGGGAAAAAAGAACTAGAAATTCAGAGCAATGCAAATTCTGAGTGTACCGTTTTTTTCATCCGACTTCACAGTTGTTCGGTTTCTCTATTTTGATTTTGCAAGCACGCGCGCGTCCCGAATGTATGTGTTCTTTAACCGTGAAATATGAAACATTTCAAATATAATCGAATTTGGGGATTTTTCATTCACCGTTGACGAGAAATAAACTCTGTCTAGCTCCTCTTTCGCTCAGCATGATGGAATTTAAATAATTGAATTTTGTCTATATGTCTTTTGTACAGGGTTTAATATTTTATGCTATTTTGGTGTGTGTGTGTGTGCTGTCATTTTTTTTTGTTAAAAAGCGGCTTAATTGAAGTCACAGATATTATTTTCAATGAAAATGAGCGAGCAAGCGAACACAAGACTCTCGGCGAACCATTGATAGTCATCGTTCAGAAGCGAACAAGAGACATTCCAGCAAACGGTGTGTTTGGACATTTTATCCGAGAGCATCATTTGCTATCAGTGTTCGTTTTTTTTTATCTCGAAAGTGGAAAATGGCACGTTTATCATTGAACGACACACAAAAAAAATTACGGTATATACGCCAACGTACATTCCACTTCAAGCACTGTGAAATGCTACATTTTTTCCGCCGCGTTTTCATATTGGAATTTTTATGTTTTGTTTCTGAGAACAATTAAATTCAAATGAAATATGTTGAAGTGAAAATATCGATTTGGAAATTTGCACATATTCGGCTACTGGAACAAACAACGAGAGATAGAGAGAAAAAAAGAACATACACCAAGCAAAGCTATTCATTCATTTCAAATGTACATGCATAATGGAAAATACATTTGCAAGTCGTATGTGAATTGAATATTGTACGCACGACTTGAATACACCGACTTTTACATCGAGTGCAATGCTAGATATGAAAAAAAACATTCCAGTTCGTTTGTTTTTATGTCACTCATTCATTGTGTTTTTTTTAGTCTGTTTGAAGTCTTTCATGCGAAATTATCAACGGCAAAAGTTTGTTTACCGCTTCTTCTGGTTGCATGTGTGTGCGATTTGTGCCGGAGAGTCTCTTTTTCCGTGGTATTTGCAATGTACAGCCGTTGCTGTGTTCGGCAAAAAAAGTGTGAACTTTTGAAAATGTAAAACAATTGAAATTATCTTTGTGCTTTGCATACATGGGGTCGTTTTACATGTGCAATTTAATCAGCTTTAGTCCGGAAGCAGTTGATACAATGTTAAATTCAATTGAAAAAAGCGTTAGAATAAATTTATCTCGAGTTGTAAAACACAGATTTTCGTTTTATTTTTGTATCGAAGTTTCAGTTTCGGTCATACACATATACCTCAACATCGCAAATTATTGAAGCGATGATTAAATAGTGTTTTATTATTATTATTAAATTTATGTAATATTGGTATGTTTAATGATCGAGCGTCCTTTAATAAGTGGTTTAATTTTAGTGTAACCACGATTGGTGTATTTGACCTCCTAATCTCTGTTGGCATGAGCTTTTGTGTATGTATATATATTCAAATTCGACAGTTGGTAAATATTTGAATTTATTTTTGCGCCACGTTTGCAACATACATGTTTTTACACCATATATGGAAACATGGCACGCATATATTATAATTCATTGTACAAAGTGTTAAAACCAAATCTCTATTTGTATAAGCGTCTAAAACTACGAATTATTGTTTGACTTAAGAGTGAATGTTTCAACACATCATATATAATAAGCGTCACAGTTCAGCTTCACCGTAACAGTAAGCATGCGAAAAACTTTGACTTCTCCCCATAACATTCCCGAATGGGCAAAGTTTTTGGATTGTCTTTTCATTTTATCGCATTTCATCACTATATCATTATATTTCAGTTTGGTTGGAGCGGTGGGATGGATTTTTTCCCTATTGATGGAAAGTGCATGAGAAAAAAGATGTTGACTTTTGTATGAAAGTTAACATCATCATCGTCATCGGTGTATTTGTCTCAACAAGTGGGTGGCATTTAAACATGTAGGCGTATATATTCGATGTATAAATACGATTTGCTTCACCACAATCTGATTGTGGTCCTTTAGCCGATTCTCAAGATCGGTGAACGCGTCACATATTCACATAAAATGTGTGCGCGTGCTAAACATTTATCTCATAATGGATAATACTAAAAAAGGAGACGGAGAGAGAGTGAGAGAGACGGTCATAAAAATATAAATCAAATATCAGCTGACATTTTGCCTTACATACTTATAAACTAATCGAGTTAAAACTTCATTATGCGGTTTTCATCGTCATCACACGCCAATGAAACATTAAATGGAAAAATGGCATGCAAGTTTTTTTAAAAGTTCTCTCTCGATTTAATTTCAAATTTAAGTTATGAATAAAAAGGAGTTTAAATACATCAGGCACAGTAAGGCAGACAAATATTACAGAACGCACACGAGAGAGAAAAAGAAGGAAAGAGAAGAGTTGAAATAAAAAAGACGAAGTGCAGACGTGTGCGAGAATGATTTAACATTCCATCGCCTTAAGAAGTATATCCTTTTAAAATGCAATTAAATGAGTTAAGCGATTTCAGCACTTATGGGAAAAATGCGGAATGAGTATGACTCTCGAATAGGAATATTTTGCCATGCTTTGAAGAGTTGACGCGCTGAAAATCCATTTTTCAGTTTTGTTGTTGGTGTAGATTTCGAATATTGTGTATATGTGTGTGTGCTGTTGTGTAAGTTATAATTCATTGACGTTCCGTATGGAATTCGAAGAATTGAAATAGATTTTGGCTGATAAAACATTTTAACCAAGTGGTGCTCAGCATGAAGTAAACATAAAGAGACGTATTTTTGGACGTTTTACCAGGGTTTTGTCAGTGTTTGATTGTGTGTGTCAAGCGGGTGTGCGTATGACAAAACCGAAAATTTCGTTTAATTTAATCCACATTTTGTGTGACATCCTTCATTTCCGAAAGAAAAGTGATGACAACATGATGCTGTTATTTGTGTTGTATGTTGTTATTTTTCGTGCGTTCGTCAGGATAAATACGGGTATGAGAACCATAATTCAAATCGCACTTGTTCATATTCACATTCGTAAATGGTATGTAATGTACTGCTTTGCATCCAGACTGTACAGCGCAACAAAGATACACCAAATGGCATAAATCTCACTCAATTTTTTTGTAGTAGCTTAAATTGAATAAAAGAAGGATTTGTGTGATGTTTGGCTTGTGTATATTTTTATTAAAGAGTCCCTTGAAGACTTCTGAGCAATTGAGATATCATTGGATTGTGATGGTAAAAGCGTTGGTATTCAGAATTTTGATGATTGCTTGGGGAGAATAGTACGGAAGATACACGTGTAATGAATCTAATACTGCAATAATTGCACAAAAAAAATTGCGCGTAATCCACTACAGACGAAAATAATACCGTGTAATGCGAGAAAAATGACGCTTAATTTTCTTACTCAAATGAATGTCTCAACATCATGCTTGTGAATTGTGTGATTTTCAAATGTTTCGCTGTCATTTTGAAAGCGTGTATTGCTAAATTACAATCGTATAATTGCGCTCGGAAAATATTGTCGCTCACAATTTATGCTTGATAATGAGTACGTGAATTTGTCCAAGAGTGTTTGATACCATTAGAATGGCACCTGGTGTCGATTACTGTAACACGTACAGCGTATAAAAATCTCTTATTATCGCTCTCCGCCTCAATGAAATTGAAGAAAAAGAAACACCCAAATTCCTGAACATATTTTCTTTGTAACATTTATTATCGATTCATCTTCGTGTTTCGAAGCAAGTGATTCTTCTAGTTTTATAATCTCAATTAAGCTCGCTTGCACGGATTTTCATAATAATAAGAATTTAAGTCATTTACCAGGAATGTGTATTTGAAATGTGAAACGCTCATGGATGGTTTGCCATCTTGGCGTAGGAAAATACCTATGGGCCGCAATTTGAACAACAGAAAAAGGAAAACGCTTGCCGCAAGATAGAAAAACTATACAACGAAATCCAATATGATAAAATTGGCTGGTTTACATAACAAGACCCGGCATTTATTCTTGCTCCTTCTCTCTTTTCTTGTACATGCCATTTTGTCTATTGATTTTTATATTAGCCGAGTACGTCGAGCTAATTAATAATTCGAATCATCCTTAGACTTCGTTACTTGTCTGTAATGCCATATCCCAGAGGCGGAAAAATAGAGGAAGAATGAGTATCATATCTTGCCTTCTTTCGCAAATCAATTTTCAAAGTGTTACTATGCAACTATTTGCGGCTCGTGTTGTTGTTGGCGTGGAACATAAATTGTGTGTGTGTGTGCTCACTGGGTTGTGTTTGACGAATATCTATATAGATATGCATGCGGGGTAAAAGTTTAGTCCGGCATTTTCAAGTGGTTTTGCGTTAATAAAACGTAACATACAAACACACATGGCACGATTAGTATTCAGTACTTAAGCTCATAATCTTACATGCCATTATTGCCAGAACTTATTAGCTATTGAGGATTAAAACATTTGCTTAGATTGGCTTGTATACAACCATATGTTGAAGGTATATATGATGCAGTATGCAGCCTTCATTTTGCTCATTCATTTTCAACAATTATGAAGCACAAAAATTTTCTTTCGGGACAACGAACAAGACGACAGAGCAATGATAACAGCAGCAGCAGCAGCATATAGGCAAAATGCTGCCACATAGAGATACCATATTTCTACAATTTATTTACGTTACATATGTGCTCCCCTTTTAATGTTTCTATTTTTCTCTTTCTATCACTCGCCCCCCTCTCTCCATCTCTGCTATGGTGCTGTCTGTGGGAAAAAGTCGACTTGAATCAACGTTGAAGTGTATAACTTTCTCATTCGCTTTTAGTACGACTTTCTTGGTTTTCATATGTCGAAGAAAATTCAATTATAAATGCCCCATGGCCGCTTCCATACCAATTGCTTCATACTTTTCCATCATTGACCGTCGGCCACGTCGTCCTCATCGCCATCGTCGTCATTGTCCAAACAACCAAATATATATATTGAGAAAATGAAGTAGATTATTGAGAATAAAAGGCGCATGATTTATGTTACATTCGATATTGCAATACTCAAGTTAATATGAGTTGTTTGTACAAAAGTTAATGTTCGGGGCGATTTTTATTTATTCGTTGCTTTATATATTGCGAACTTAAAAAGCGTGGCACAAACCACAATGATTTGTTCCGAGCTATTCAGCTGAAATGGTAAAATTAAATTGAATTTCTATGTTCAAATTACGTCTATTCAAGTGTTTGATTAAAGTTGCAGCAGTTGGAAAAGCATTCATTTCATTAACACTTTCTGCTGCATTTTTAATTACATTTTTTTTTTGGTACACATCCATTTCGTTTCATACACCTGTGTTAATGCACAGCTGCTTTTCCGTTGATGTGTGTTCTATAATTATTTCTATTTTCTTTAAATATCTTATTATAAACGGTAGCAAAATAAAATTACAGTATACAGTGTTCTTTGAATGATTCCAGGAAAATTCTCGAAATTGTAAGCGCTGAAATCATTTTCATTAATTTGATCTCGACTACGCAATAAAGTGTTTGTGCCATAAACATTTTTTGTTTTATTTAATCGTGTTACATATGCATTCGAATTTGGACGATTTTAAAGGATGTTTGTGAACTCAATTGCAAATTCAATAAATGATAAACATCAATTAAAACTTTGATTTTCGAATACAAACTGTTTTGGCTTCGGTCATAATTCTATTTAGATTGTACCAATGTAAATGGTACATGGAAAATAAATGACGTTGAAGGCCATTGCCTTCACACTAACTGCAAGAATTCGCCTTTAATTCTGTTTTACATTTTCATTTGAGGCTTTTAGTTGGATTACGGCAAGCCAACGTTCATTCAGTTCATGTGCACTATGTGTGTAATTGCGTTTAGTGGAATTATGTAGCATTAAATCTCCACAAAATTGAATCCAAATGAGACATTCGTGCCTTGCAATTACAATCACTTTGCGTACAATGAATTTACGCAACGAACGCGAACATTCCAACGCATCAAAAATGCCATCATATATTCGAGCGCAATTTTAGAGCGTTCAGATGATTCAAAATTGGCGATGATTTATGAGCTTTACGACACCACCACCCGAATGAGATATATACTGTTTCGAAATCAAAAAAAGCTACGCTTTTACCAGACATTGAACGCCCGTATATTTTCAATCAACTGAAATGTCTCATATGGATGATATCAACGGATATTAGTATGAGAGTGTGGGTCAGTCAAGCCAGATGAGACTCTTCAACTGATTGAAAATACCTTGATAGAATGTCTGGTGATTTGTAAAATATTTTTAGGTTATATCTTATACAATCTATAGTCTGACCATTAACAAAGACTATTATTCATTTTTGACACAAATCGATAAGTTATCGATACAATAATGAATTTTTGATGTGAGCAATTCTTCGAAAATTCTAGTGAAACTATTATTATAATTATAATAATTACCCATTGATGTCAATGTGTTGATTTTTCAAAGCGGGACCTATGGACAAGTGTTGAATGTTCTGCAAACAAAATAGATTAAGAAATTTGGTTAGTGTATAGAAGTAACTTTTCCAATAAGTAATAAACGATATTTGAAAATAATTGAGTATGAAATTCGAAGAGAATATGTATTGTCTATTGTTAAGTAATTTCAATAAACCCGATAAATTGGTTAGACAAAAGTTGACCAAAATGAATCCAGAAAAGATTTCCTTTTCATGTTCATCTTGGATTTCTTGAGCGTGACTAAAAATATTCATTTTATTTATCATGGCCGTAACTATTTATCGATATTTTATTGCACGATTCAATAACAAATTGTGCTCAATTTCAGCATTTCTAATCGAATCATTTAATTCAATTGCATTGCGGTCATGTCATAAATAAAAATCAGATTTATTTTGCGACTCGTTTTACCATAAACTATTGATTAAAATGGTGCACATACCAAACACACCATGGATGTAGCATTCAAAAGCAATAAGATCATCGGAAAATTAATAAAGTTCAGAAATATCAGGCAATAAATGTGATTCATGGGTCATAATAAAAGCGGAACCAGTCCAACACAACTGTGGTCCGATGATATACGCATTATGTCTGTGTATGTCATGCTTAGAGAAATATGTGGCGGGGATGTATGTGCGTATGTTTTTGTTTAAATTTTGCGTATGCGTGTGTGTATGTGTGGGGACATAAATGGAAATTATTTGCCCTTCGCGAATTCTTTCGTAAAGCCGTTGCAAAAAGATATGGTATATTCTATTCCGTATTTGAAACAATATTTATTTTGGTGATATGGTAGTCGATCACACACAATGGTACACACATACGGCATTTGCTCTTTCACCCTATATCGTCACACATGCCTTTCTCATTCTCTAAATGGCTTTAAAGCTTTGGGGACCCGAAAACGATAAACGCAATATAAACCAGTAAATAAATGAAACAAATTTCCACCACAGACTCTCTATCACTAGCTAAAATAAACGCAGAACGACAACAATAATCATAAATATCAAAAGCTCTCTTCTGACACATAACTTTAAAGGTTATTAAAGACGAATTTCAGTTCAGCTATATGGTCCGTTATGAACGGGCCATACGAAAGACTCATCTCCGTGGTTATATCTGTGGAGAGATTGTCTCTGCTCAACTGTATTGTGCACTGCTTGTATCTCTGAATCTATCGTTGTCTTTTTTTCATCTTCTGTTCCTTCGCACACACTTTCTCTTTCATACTCAATTTGCTGGTAATTTGTTGGCTTTGTTGTTCTCTTTCCGCACTATGTGCGGTCTTGGATACGAAAACAAGAATATTGTACATAAATAGCAGTAAATACTGCATTTTGTGTCTCTCAATTGTTAAATTCCACAATTTTTCCCTCACTCACATTCTATTAGGGTACTGATATGTGGTCGCATTGTTTTCCGATTTAGTTCCATCTCTCTATTCAAAATTGCGTTTGCACTTCGAGCATAATATTTATCTATTGTTGTTATCACCATCGTTATGAGCAATGTACTTTATATGTGCATGAATTTCACATAAATTCACATTATATATCATTTTTCGTTGCTTGTTTTTTCACGTGGCATTTGATGTACTAGTGCTCTTCTTGATTCAATTGTATTAAAAGATGTTGTCGCTACTGTATGTAGGTCACTTTTTTCTCGCAATCGTTCATATGGCGTATATGCTCGTTTTTGTAATAGAAAAATGTTTCGCTCTTTCAATTGACGTTTGTTGCTTGGAGAACTTCATCATCTCGCAATTCATTTATGTACCTTTTTTGTACTCGTTCTCTCTCTCTCTCTCGAAATCGTGTGCCATCGTCATTGGTGTGTTGTCAACGTGTCGACATAGGTCTCTTTTGATGATGGTTTCTTTCTTCGAATCGAATCTGGATACAGCGTCTACTACTCGATATTTTACATTGCTCAATACGATGCAATTTTCGAATGTGTTGAGATACATTTCGATGTGCGTTGCCAACTAACGATCAAAATGAATTTGAATTGAATTGAAGATAGAGAAGGTTCACCATCATCAACACATTTCAAATTGAGGTAAAACCCCGTAAAGAAAATACATTTGAAAACTTTATGCTTTCCATTTACTTTATGGTGTGTGTGTTTTTTTCACTTCCAAATTTTATTCTCTCGGTTTTCTCTATTTTCAATTGCTTGCTCTCACTAGTTTTGTTGAATTTCATCGAATGGATTTGTACCGGTAATGCGGTTGCTGTATTCCTTTTATGCATTCCCATACCACATTCATAACAAACAGAATCGTTCGCATTCACTATTTCGTACATTCGTTTATGTCATACTTTATCCGGAATACAAAGCTATATTAGAGGTTCCTTTTTGTTATTTATATGCACGATTACAATGGATGAAATACTCTTTTTCTTCACTTTCTTCTCATTTTTTTCACTCTCTGATGTAATTTTCATTATTTCATAGCACATTTTTGTGACTATAAAAGAAAATGAACGAAAATAAAAAGCATTACCAAGTGTTTTTTTTTTTTTCATTTTCGGTAAATCATTCCGAAGTTTAGCTGATTCCCCCCAAAAAGGA